TTCAGATATCGTAACATTTAGTAAGGAGGACGTGGCTCCAATAGCTGTCAACGTTCATAATAAGCCGAAGGAAACAGTGGCAACAACGCAACATTACCCAAGACCCATTCAAGACAACTCGAAATCACTCAGGAACCCACTCGCAGTCAATACCATCAAACCAAGACCTTCCATTACCCACCCATCACAGGATTCACATGTCACCCCCTCAATTAAACGCGAGAACGTACCAACAAGAATTTCCCTGTCACATAAACCGTACTCTTCTCTACCCACTGGATCGAGAAGACAGAAATCTGATACAGTTGTAACTACTTCTGCACCATTCAGCGATGCTACTTATTCTACTGTAGCGAGTAAAAGAAAAAGAAATCGTAACCGAGTGACGCACAAGCGCACGAATAGGCAGGAGCCGTCTGACTTGGCAGGAAGCGAAAATTACCCTCTCGAGCTTTTAGAACCGATAAACAGTGAAAATAAAAACAAAACGAGAGGCACGTTGATTAAGTACAACGCAGCACCCAGGCCATTTTCAAAAAGGAATCCAGAACACATTGAAATACCAAAGGTACTTTCCAAACCGAAACAGGAAGACAGTTTGAAAAAATCTGATGAAGAAACAATTGCACCAAATAGTGAATTTGAAAATAAAAACCCTCCATCAATGGCGAATTACAGTGAAGATTTGAATGACTATTTAAAGATTTCTCCAGTCAGGACACCTGTGGTCAGAAAACTGCACGATAGGAAGCAAATTGAGCAGAGAAAGGATGATCCTGAAATAAAGGATGATACATTATATGATAATAAAAAGGAGTCAAAGAGAGTGAAGAGTGAGAGCTCGGAGGAGAATGATTCCCCTGTAGACGAACACTCGAATATCAAGTCAGTAACTGAGAATAATAGATACACTAGCCAGTCAGAGCCAGGTTCATCAAGAATTCCAGCGAATTTGGATGTAACCATTCCAGTGACTGATACTGAAAGTCCAGCGATGTCCACCGTGACAGACCACACGCCTTTTCATTTTGATCTATCTAATTACGTATACTATCCATCATGGTTGTCTACTTCCGCGCCTGTAAAACGTACTGAGGCTAGTACCATAGATCCCTGGTTTAAAAAGTCGAGGTTCAGTCGTCGGAACAACAGGTACGGAGATAATAGTAGAGAGAATGTCGACGGTGTGGCGGAAGCCACGAATGTGGAGAATGAAGAGTCGCACGAAACACCTGACGAGAGTCATGGGGCCGAGGAACAGGAACATCAGAGTGACGAGTATGTTCAGGACGATCAACACGTGACAGAGGGTAGGAAGGGTTATTTAAATAGTAATAAGCATAATCAGGATGATAAGAAGGTGCATGACTCTTCGAGCGAGGGTTCGCACGATAATGAGAGTCAGCAGACTGCAGTGAGTGGCGACGCGAAAGGGAAGGGTGGCCCGGTGAAATTTGAGGAGGGTGGCAGCTCGGAACGGAAGGAAGAACATCGCGAGACTGACGGTGAGAAAGGGGAGAAGGTAAATTGTTAACAATTGCAGGATAACGATTATGTTAGGCCAGTGCAGGAGTTCGTGCCCGATAACAAAATGTAAATGATAAGGTGAATGTAATTATATTTTATTCCAAACTAAGCAAGAACTTTTGCATTGACCCAATATTTACAGCAATACGAAAATCAACTGTTTGCCAAGAGCAAGATAGAAATAATGAAAATTGGAGAAAGTTGTTTTGGCTGTTTGCTGTAACACAGAAGATTAGAGTCCCTCTCGCGTGTATTTCTGTTTTCTATAGGGGTACAAAAGCTGGCACGAGCACGAGAAAGCCAATAAGGGACACCACGACAAAGAGCGTCACAGCAATTATTTCGACGAGGAGGACGGGAAAAAGAAGGAGGAGGAAGAAGAGGGTGGATACCACGAGGAGTATGAAAAGGGCGAGAAGGGCGGGAAAGAGAGCGAGTTCGATGAGAAGGGCAAGCATCAGAAGGGCTACAGCACCAAGGGGGAGCACTCTGTGCACAAAAAGGTTTCATTACGTCCCAATGTAACCGAAACAATCTAATATTTTGCCACGACGGAATTAATTTTTTTTTTACGATTTCAGGACGAGTTCGAAAAACGGACAGAGTTTTTCGACGAGTTCCACGAGGACGGGGAAACGGAGAACGACGGCGAATCCCATCACGAGCACAAATCATCCAAAGGCGGTCATCATAAAATGGGTCATCATAAAGAAGGCGAGGACGA